ATTTAATAAACACAATGTTTTTCCGAAACAAAGCTTTAGAAAAAAAATCAATTTTGGGGATTTTTTGTGAGAATTCGACGATATCTCTTATAATATTCATCGATATAATTCTTCTTCATCTTACACTCGTCCTAGTTTAGAATTAACGCAACGCGAGATTAGGCGAATCCTCGTGAGTAATTCAGATCGGCAGGAATTTATATTGCGGCAATAACGAGAAACGATCGTGATAGAATAGTCAACGTCATAACTTTATCCTCTTTGCGGTTTACGCAAGGCACGCGCGTTTTACGCACGATATGTCGGACTCGCGGTATGAATCAGCCGTGCAAAATAGACCTCGATAAGCTCAGCCAGGCTTCATGCCAATGTTAAAGTACCATTCAGACGATTACTCAACCTGCTATCGCGGCGTATGCCGAGCAAAAAAAGATTGCATTAGAGGCGCTCACGCGCTTGCAATATGCGTATGATGAATCTAAACATGCCGATGGGTTTTATTTTTTTAAATAACGTAAATCCTGTTTTGACAACGCCATGAATTTCGAGTGAAATGCGAATGTGCATGCGATATCGAGATTTTTTTCGAGCTACGCTACTACTAGTATATATGAGTTTGTTTGTGCGAAATGATCCAAACATTTACTGACATTTTTTATTGTAAAATATTCAAGATATGTTCATAATCGCACAAAACTGATAGTTTTAAAAGAATATGTTTTTCTCATGTTAAATCTCTTTTGATATTAAGAGCTGGATGTTTTACATCAGAATTTGCGAGAAATATACTTCATCATTCAGCCTTCTCCTGCCATCTAGAATGTGTTTAGATCAACTGAATATACTGTGGGATTGTTTGCTATCCCAGATTATTAAAGTACTTAAAGCACTTTAAGTACTTTTAGTTTATTTAGTCACTCAATATGAAAGGTTCCTTATCTTTCGTATTTTTTCGAAATTGTAGCGAAAGTAGATTTTAAACCAACATGCAATATATTCGTCATGAATTATTGTAATAACTAAAATTTATGGGGAAGTAATAATGAAGCCGACTTTAAATTAATTTGAAAAATGAAGTTTTATAAATTCCAATGCAAAATAATTAAAAGAATACGCTATATATCGATTTAAACTCATTTCTAGATAACTGAAATTAATTTGGCTGAAGTTTTCTTTAATTCTTTTGTTTAATTCTGATTAGTAATATCATAGTAAATAATTTATCAATTCACATATTTTTAAATTTCTAAAAAAGAAATAAATTAGATTTATTACATCCCATATATGATGTTTCATAATCATTGGATGTTCCTTTAATGATACTTCAATTAATTTGGATTTTTAATGCATTAAAATTGAAGTAAAATTAAAATTTTAAAATTACAATCAAAATTATATTAAATAATATTCTATCGAAAAACTCCATCTGAAATCAATTCAAGAATATAATTTTGTTATCTGTTTAGCGAAGTTTAATTCATGAAAAGCTCTTTCTTTGCAATCACTTATAACTCTAACATTACTGAAGCCTCGAGATTTCCGCTAAGAACAAATCGACACCATTGATTTTGGGTCACTCTGTACATTTCCTCTTTCTTAGAGCCCATAGCTCAAAGCTTTCCTCGAAGCCACTCTTATGTTCGGTGCAATCGTCTTCCTCGTAATGAGTCGTCGTGAAACCAGTCACCTAGGCTCGCGTTCGTTTCTTCTGAATACCGCAGCTTCCAACGTACGAGAATGCCCCACTATCGTCTTGCGCCTTATATGCCTGCCTTATGTCTTACGTTATTCCTTCTCCTCTCCATGACGAGGAGGCCGTTTCGCTCCTTCCTCCAGCTCGCGGTATCGCTTTCCCGCGAACTTCAATGACAATCAGTGCCGTGCCGTTGACGCTGATGCGTCGTCGCTCCAATTCGCTTCGTTGAACACGTGTCGTTAGCTGGAGCGCTGAGTAAAATCAGAGTAAAGTCATTCGGGTAGTTGACGGATAAAAAAGTGCAAATTGTTCGAGGTGAATACGAAAGAAATTACACGCGAATGATATGATATAGAAGTTCATTTCCGATTCGATATGATTAGGGCTTATTGTTAGTAGCAGCGTTTGATTTCCGATGTTTTGCATTCCGCGATACATATGAGACGAAGAGATAATAATGACGATAATAATTCCAGAAATAAATGTGTACATAATAGGCGCGACAGACTGAATATCGCGATAAATTTGCAGAGAGATTGAAATGCTTGATAAACTTTGTCTTCCTTATCGGCGCCAGTCTTTAACGATGTCGCAGTTCGCTTCGTCTTTCTCATATTTTGCTTCGGTGAACTAATTTATCGTTTCTTGGCTTGCAAATTTCTCGATACGTATCTTTCGAATTAAAATAATTTTAAAATTGAGATCGCGTTTGACAGAATTAACACTCTTGCGGAAAAAATTGTCTAATAATATTTTTAATTCTTTTTTTACAGTTTATAGTTTTTTATAGTCGATTTTGTTCTTGGGAAAGTTACTTAGAAAAAAAACGCAAATCGCGCCGGGAGGATCGAGAATCCTCTCCCGTCGGCGGATTTGTTTTCTCGGTTGTGGACAAACTTTCTCCGCATTTTTGCTGATCGAAACTCGCCGAACTCGGCCTGAAACTCGCGCTCGCCGCTCTCGCGGGGTTCAACGTTCCTGAAATAGTGGGTGTGTCGCGTGTGCCTTTTCGACTCTCTCGCGATGGAGACGACGCGATGCGCGTACGTATCCGAGGACGAGAACCTGTACCAGGTGTACAATCGTGAGAAAGCGACCAGTAACCTCGTTACTCTCGGTAAATGCGCATTTCTTTGATTATTTAGACTCGCCGATTAAACAACGAGCTAAACTGGACGAAACAACAAACAAATTAATTAGGAATGTTATATAGATATTTCTAAGCTACACATTCCCTTTGAAGAAATTTCCTTTCCAATCCTTAGAATTTTTCTATGAATGGGGAAGGAAATATATTCGGAAAAGATAAAGCTTTCAGATGCCTATCAAGGGTGTATGAAAAATCAGCTATAATTTAGATAGAAAAACAAGGTGAATCTGTAATGAAAAATTTCGCAGTTCTTCTCGATCTGTGTACGTCGTAACTGACTTGTCGTGTAAACATGACAATAAAAAAAAAATGCATATTTTAACTTTCAGGATGGCAGCAGTCTTCAGTAAATATTTGTTTCCCTCTTCTATTCGCACCAATCAATTTTTTTTTCCTTTTATATATTTTCTTCTTTATATTTATTATCAGATATAAATTATAAATAAAATATATAAATTTTTTTTATACGCGTACATATATACGCACGCACACATACACAAATATATTTGTTATTAATATAGTTTTAAGTTTGCGTTTAGCGTTGTTATCTCCTGGATTTGTTGTTCCTTTTTCTACACACATGAAGTATATTTATATTTGTAAGAATTTTTTTAATGTTGCGCGTTTGGTCTCATCAGTAAATGGAGGGAAACCTTCGGCATTTCGGATTAAATAAATTAAATGTGCCGTGACAATCAAGGCGCCTGTCAAGGACGCGGCAGCTACTTACCGGGTGTGACATCATCGTGAATTTTTTTGCAATATATTCGTCATGAATTATTGTAATAACTAAAATTTATGGGGAAGTAATAATGAAGCCGACTTTAAATTAATTTGAAAAATGAAGTTTTATAAATTCCAATGCAAAATAATTAAAAGAATACGCTATATATCGATTTAAACTCATTTCTAGATAACTGAAATTAATTTGGCTGAAGTTTCCTTTAATTCTTTTGTTTAATTCTGATTAGTAATATCATAGTAAATAATTTATCAATTCACATATTTTTAAATTTCTAAAAAAGAAATAAATTAGATTTATTACATCCCATATATGATGTTTCATAATCATTGGATGTTCCTTTAATGATACTTCAATTAATTTGGATTTTTAATGCATTAAAATTGAAGTAAAATTAAAATTTTAAAATTACAATCAAAATTATATTAAATAATATTCTATCGAAAAACTCCATCTGAAATCAATTCAAGAATATAATTTTGTTATCTGTTTAGCGAAGTTTAATTCATGAAAAGCTCTTTCTTTGCAATCACTTATAACTCTAACATTACTGAAGCCTCGAGATTTCCGCTAAGGACAAATCGACACCAGATTGATTTTGGGTCACTCTGTACATTTCCTCTTTCTTAGAGCCCATAGCTCAAAGCTTTCCTCGAAGCCACTCTTATGTTCGGTGCAATCGTCTTCCTCGTAATGAGTCGTCGTGAAACCAGTCACCTAGGCTCGCGTTCGTTTCTTCTGAATACCGCAGCTTCCAACGTACGAGAATGCCCCACTATCGTCTTGCGCCTTATATGCCTGCCTTATGTCTTACGTTATTCCTTCTCCTCTCCATGACGAGGAGGCCGTTTCGCTCCTTCCTCCAGCTCGCGGTATCGCTTTCCCGCGAACTTCAATGACAATCAGTGCCGTGCCGTTGACGCTGATGCGTCGTCGCTCCAATTCGCTTCGTTGAACACGTGTCGTTAGCTGGAGCGCTGAGTAAAATCAGAGTAAAGTCATTCGGGTAGTTGACGGATAAAAAAGTGCAAATTGTTCGAGGTGAATACGAAAGAAATTACACGCGAATGATATGATATAGAAGTTCATTTCCGATTCGATATGATTAGGGCTTATTGTTAGTAGCAGCGTTTGATTTCCTCTGTTTTGCATTCCGCGATACATATGAGACGAAGAGATAATAATGACGATAATATATATAATTCCAGAAATAAATGTGTACATAATAGGCGCGACAGACTGAATATCGCGATAAATTTGCAGAGAGATTGAAATGCTTGATAAACTTTGTCTTCCTTATCGGCGCCAGTCTTTAACGATGTCGCAGTTCGCTTCGTCTTTCTCATATTTTGCTTCGGTGAACTAATTTATCGTTTCTTGGCTTGCAAATTTCTCGATACGTATCTTTCGAATTAAAATAATTTTAAAATTGAGATCGCGTTTGACAGAATTAACACTCTTGCGGAAAAAATTGTCTAATAATATTTTTAATTCTTTTTTTACAGTTTATAGTTTTTTATAGTCGATTTTGTTCTTGGGAAAGTTACTTAGAAAAAAAACGCAAATCGCGCCGGGAGGATCGAGAATCCTCTCCCGTCGGCGGATTTGTTTTCTCGGTTGTGGACAAACTTTCTCCGCATTTTTGCTGATCGAAACTCGCCGAACTCGGCCTGAAACTCGCGCTCGCCGCTCTCGCGGGGTTCAACGTTCCTGAAATAGTGGGTGTGTCGCGTGTGCCTTTTCGACTCTCTCGCGATGGAGACGACGCGATGCGCGTACGTATCCGAGGACGAGAACCTGTACCAGGTGTACAATCGTGAGAAAGCGACCAGTAACCTCGTTACTCTCGGTAAATGCGCATTTCTTTGATTATTTAGACTCGCCGATTAAACAACGAGCTAAACTGGACGAAACAACAAACAAATTAATTAGGAATGTTATATAGATATTTCTAAGCTACACATTCCCTTTGAAGAAATTTCCTTTCCAATCCTTAGAATTTTTCTATGAATGGGGAAGGAAATATATTTGGAAAAGATAAAGCTTTCAGATGCCTATCAAGGGTGTATGAAAAATCAGCTATAATTTAGATAGAAAAACAAGGTGAATCTGTAATGAAAAATTTCGCAGTTCTTCTCGATCTGTGTACGTCGTAACTGACTTGTCGTGTAAACATGACAATAAAAAAAAATGCATATTTTAACTTTCAGGATGGCAGCAGTCTTCAGTAAATATTTGTTTCCCTCTTCTATTCGCACCAATCAATTTTTTTTTCCTTTTATATATTTTCTTCTTTATATTTATTATCAGATATAAATTATAAATAAAATATATAAATTTTTTTTATACGCGTACATATATACGCACGCACACATACACAAATATATTTGTTATTAATATAGTTTTAAGTTTGCGTTTAGCGTTGTTATCTCCTGGATTTGTTGTTCCTTTTTCTACACACATGAAGTATATTTATATTTGTAAGAATTTTTTTAATGTTGCGCGTTTGGTCTCATCAGTAAATGGAGGGAAACCTTCGGCATTTCGGATTAAATAAATTAAATGTGCCGTGACAATCAAGGCGCCTGTCAAGGACGCGGCAGCAACACACCGGGTGTGACATCATCGTGAAATAATGTCGTGACATTTTCTTTTTTACATACGCGCGCCACCTCGAATATATTTAAGTGAGTTCTCGATTGGACAAATAACGGCGTATCACTTTTATCATATTCACTTTTTGCGGAACTTGCAAATATTTTAGTAGATTTTGCAAGATGTCTTTGCATACTTTATATTACACACAATATATTAAAATAAATTATGAAATATCTCGTAAACACTGTTGATTTTTTGCTCAATATTTAATTAATACTTTTATTCCATTAAAAGAAATGGAGATAAATATTAAAATACCATAAAAAAAAACTATATAATCATGTTATCAGAAATTTTTTTTGCATTATATTTTCCCATTGAAAACATTTCTCGATAACTGCATAACAGATAATTTAAAAACATTTCTCGATAACCGCATAACAGATAATTTAAAAACATTTCTCGATAACCGCATAACAGATAATTTAAAAACATTTCTCGATAACCGCATAACAGATAATTTAAAAACATTTCTCGATAACCGCATAACAGATAATTTAGATCATAAAGTTAAGTGCCTCAATCTGTATATATGATTAAAGTACGCGAATAGGAAATAAGAAATAATCGTTTCTACACATATTTATCTCTTGTATACGATATAACAATCAGTTACAGCGGATGTTTCCGTCTGTTTATTTCCGAACGTTATACAGAGTGCGCCCGAAATAGTGGAGATTCTTTGATAAATTTAGGGATGAGATAGTGTGTAAAGTAAGTCACGTGTTTTATCCGAACTTTTCTCGAAGTCGGAGATCGACCCCTCCCGCGAAAATCGATACGAGTCCCTTGCATCTTCAACGGATTTATAAATTGGATCTAAAATCTGCTTTCAGATGCGCTGCTGGCGGACTTGCAGAACACCGTGTCGTCGGAAGGGAATCACGTCGGTGGTAATGCGACACCCGGTTACGGATCGTTGAATGGTGCTCGCACCCACGCGACCACCGTCTACAGATCCTATGACAATCGAACCTCACCACTGCCACCGCAATCGGTATGTCGATCTTTTATTTATCTTAATTAGAATAATAATAGATCTATAATAAAAGAGGCCGTGCGCCTCTTTATTCTGTATTTGGCAAATTTAAATTCAGCCGAAAGATATATATCTCGCGATTGTCGCTGCAATTTTTTAGTACCGTCGATATAGAAATCTTTTAATCTTAATTAAAGATTAACGATGGTTTCTTTTTTAATCTTATTCAGCGGATTTAAACATTTATATTCAGCGAAAAAACATTTGAATTTTTTATAATTTGATTATATCTTTTATAATGATAATTAAATTATTATTTCGTGTCTAGATTGTCTTAATTTAATTAGATTTACAAGAATATTCAGTGGGATCTGTAGGATCCTGTTAAACGCCGCAGTCAAGTAAGATTCGCAAAATATGTAGCCGTTTCCGAGCAAAATCGCGAACGGTACAAATCGCGACGATTTATCGACGAAGTCGGAGAATTCATCGAGCTTGCTGAAGAGACGTGACTAAAGTCGTGAACATAGTTTACTAGATGGAGCCAAGTGCCTCGATGGTAGCTCGATGGCAATCGCTTAATTTTGAAATTGCTAAATTTTATTTGGAGTTTTATAAAATATAAACTGTGAAATACTCGACACGAAGAGTTTTTCGATTCTTTCGTTTTTGAATTTATATATATATATATTATAATATATATTATAAATATTAAAATAGCGATAAATTTTTGTTGTGACACCTAGAAATCTACCTATATCAGCAAGACATTTTTTTGAGTGTATTATATATTATATAAAATAAGGAAAATTCACGAATATATTTTTGGTAAGATTATTGTTATAAAAACAAGATGACTCATTATTATGTGGACAATACGTCTTACTAATAAAGGATCCCATTTTTATTGAAAAATATTAAAGTATGAAACATATTATATATTACATTCTTTTTCGATGATATATATATATATATATATAATGATATATATAGAGTTTTACAAAATATATTTTATTGTGTAGTAGTCTCTCCTTTCGTTATACAAAATTAACTTTTTGGCACTAACGTCGTTTCCAGTCTATAAAACGTCCTGAAATAGAGCAATTCGTCGTCATGGTCGCGAAAGCGTGACATAGGGGGAATCCGCAAATAAACCTCTTCGCCGACGGCATAATAACTGTCGATACGATGTCTTGGCGAGATACAACGTGGTCCCCTTTCGACATTTTTCAGTCGCATGTGGCTTGTTTTCATTTTCAGGGCCACGAACGTCATTAATATGAACGTTTATAATCAAGCAAACATTTTTTTTAGATTTTAAAATTATTGCATCTTTTAATCCTAAAGGATATGTATATTTCTAAAAAAATACCTAGATCTTCCGTTATACGAATTATCACATGCACGTTTTTAAAAGAAATGTTTTTATTACTGAAATATAGAAGAAGCATATATATATATATTTTTTTTTTTAAATTAAATACATATTTTTATAACTTTTTATTGTAAATTTATGTGGCAAATATTTGTTGCATTAATTTAGATTATTTTGGAAGCGCATTAATATATCGTGACTTTGGAATAATAATTAAATCGAGAGACGCGCGAACATTCCAAAGTACTCTCGAAACGTCAGTTAACCATGCGATCGCTCTTGAATTTATTTACACGCAGAGTTATAACCGTGAAAATAGAATGTTACAGAATAGAACGAACATGTAATCACCTGCTTTCGTTGTAAAATCTAAGCCTCGCGACGATTTGTAGATTTTATACGACAAACTCGATATTTCTCGGTTAACCATCGGTTGTTTTGAAAAAAAAAAAACTTTCCACTGTCATAAAACACGGTCGGAAATAATTATGACGCAACGGTGGTGCTAAAATTAGAATCAATATCGTGTCTAAAATTGACGCTCGAGAGAAGCATCACTACAGGCGTAACATCGAACGTTTGCGGCAGACGGAATATTAGTCGGAAGAGAGTCTCGAATTACTCTCGTATTAGTTATTTTTTTCTCTGGAAAAAAAAACGTTGCGAAGATGTGTTTGAAGATACAAGAGCTATAACTATACAAAGAACGGAACCTAATCTCTTTGTAACGATATTAATCAATAAAAAAAATTGATCCCACAGTGAGCGAATAACTCAGAGAAATTAGTTCTTAATTAATTAATTAAAAACAATTTACAAAATAATAAATTCTAAGTTTTTTTTTTATGTTATACTCGTTAATCTTTATATAATCTTTTAATTTTTTTCTAGCTAAGAATTACGTGTATTTTCCGTCGTGTCTAAAAATTAGAATCGCTCATAGGATTTAATAATCTATTATTTTCGAAGTTGTTTATTTAAAAAAAAGTTCTTGTACAGAGTTACGAATAAAAAGGTGAAATCCGTTCCGTATAGCAAGTAGCGAGAATATTTTCCACGAGTCGCATAAAAGAGAAACGTACAGGAAAAAAAAATACTGCGTTTCCGCGCTTGTTCCGAGTTTCCCGCGACAGGGAACACCTGTTACGTTCCCTGCCGATTCTATCGATCCTCTGCTCGACCTAGGACAGCTTGGTCTCTATTATTCATGCTTATCGATTCGACTTATGCTCTTGCTGCAAAATATGCGGCCGAGCCAACTGCATCATTCGCTATCGCGTTAAATCGCATTTTTTTCCGCAGAGAAAAGCGCCTTCCGTTCACCTTCAATCCGATAATATCGTCGCGACGTCGAGTTGCAACATTATGTGCATTTATATATTTAAAAATGCATACAGATATATCTTTTTAATAGCTATACTCTTGTAGATATCTAAATATATCGACTGTTGCGAACGTTATGCATCCACTTGAAGTAATAGAATTCAGATAGAGAGACGAGTCGATTTCAATGTATTCTGCATCGAAAACGATAGAAACATTCATATATAATTATGTTTTAATCTTTTTTTAAAGTCTTTTTTCTTTAATTGAGGAAGTTTTAAAAAATGTTAAAGTTACTATCTTATTATTTTCAATCGGGAAACAGGTGAATCGTGAAAAATTAAATTTTTCCTGTAATGAATGAGAGAATAGACGAATATATTAAAATATGTTTGTAATTATAAATGTCTCTATCTTTCGAAGAAATTAATGCGAAAAAATTAAAAAATTAAATTATCTAAATAGAGACTAAAATAATTATTAAAATGATATATTTGATGAATCGACATATTTATTACTTTTTATATTTACTTTGAGTAGTATCGTTTACATGAAACAATAGAGGAGAATGCCCTATGTCAGGTGAATGCACTTCTTAAGTGTAACGTAAGTAAAGTCCAGGTGGTCATAATACGGATATCGGATATATAGCAGTTGTTTCGATTTGTTTGCATTCAGATAATGGTCTAAATTATTCAGACTGTAAAAATGATTCTCAAACGATTAAATTATATTTATATAAACATAATTAAAATTAGTAAAAAAATGAAGACTATCTTTATCAAGAAGTTAATTATTATTTTTATTTATATAACTTGTATTTAACTATACTACATATTTTTAGAATATGTTTAATTATTAATATATTATAACAATATTTTAATATAATTATTAATATATTATAACAATATTTATATATATTTATTATTATGCGAATATATTCTTTTTCCAATACTCTTATCATAGTATATAAAATTCAATTTTTGAGAGAAGTGCTCATTTTGAGAGACTTATTAACAGTAGAGAGAAAAAAAATCGCGGGCTTAAAAGTTAAATCGATTATTTCATGATTGATGAGTTTGACCAAATTTACAGCTGAAATTGATGATAGCTATGTTTTTCAAATCGCATCCGCGCAAGTTGCCCAGCTCCTGTTATTCTTCTCAGAACGCTGTTATGGCATCGATCTGTCGTCGCGTTTCTGCTGCAGTCGTCATCCTCGGAAGCGGATCGGCAACGTGCGACGCGATCCAATTTCACGGCTAGTCCGAGACCTATTTTCTTGACATCAACTGGGAATGGAGTTAACGAGCTTGTTTCATGCATACGTGACAAAAATATCTTATATCTTTATCCAAATTAAATGTATAAAATTTGTTTTAAAAACTCTGTTTTAACTATCATTTTAAATAATAGCACAAAAATTATTTAACTGTTTGAAGCAATTGATAATCAAATTGTCTTAGTTAAATTAATGGAAAATATTATAAATCTTTCGATTATTAATTCTTTATCATAGATAATTTGTAATTAAATAGAAATATTTTAATTAATTAGCGACAACTTGTAACGCTTGAAAATAATTCTGAATTTTGTTGTTTTGACAATATTTCTCGTAAGTTCGTCTAAAATGGCTGTTACAACGACGTTAAATAACGTCTTTGGTTACAAAACACACGTCGACAAGACCGATAATGTTTCTTACCGGATTGTCGCCAAGAAGTGTCAATTCTCCGTCGAAGGTCGCGGATGTTAAAAGCTTTCCCTTTGATGTTATCCCGAATTTAGCTCGTGTAAACGATTGTGCGTGTATGCGTGATTCCAGACGTTTGCACTGCTGCAGATGCAAATGTGTAGTCCGTTGCATAAATCCGGCCGAATGCCGTAACAACGCGAGCACGTGAGCGTGACGGATTGAGCTGTACACACGCTGGACGCGTGACATGTCCTGGATACGCAGTGTCCCACAAATATCTTACTATATCTCTAGAAGGATTTCATGAGCAATATGTATTGAATATTTTAACAAGAATAATGAATACTTATTATTTTTTTTAATTTGAGGATTTCTCCCTCTACGTAAAAATAATAATTATAGATTAATTGTTTAATATTTTAACATTTTATAAACTGAGTTAAATTATAATCTTTTTATATATACATACACACATACTAAAGAGAAAAAATATATGTAAATCATAAACATTTAAAGTGTTCATAATTCATGAAAATAAACTGTCCTTTTTTTATTATACTTAGGGAGAGATCTGGACATTCGAATAAAATGACAGAAATTCGAATATTTTGTATTGTTCTGAAA